ACGCGTCAGTCTTTTTTTTCCCTCGGCAACTTATCATTATTACAATGATAAGCTAGTCTTGACATAGATCTAAATCTACGTAATGAATTGTGCGCTGGTCTATGGAATCAAAAGTTGCCCTATGCTAAGCTCTACACAGCAACACAACGTTTTGGTAAACAATCGGGATGACACAGGCGTGTGCATTGAACAAATCGGTCTTCTTTTTTTTTTACACAGCTCAAAATATGCAGTCATTTCAGGCACTAGATCTATTTGTGATTTCTCTTTACATTACTTGCTCATTGTCTGTAATTATCTACACAAAACCTCGTATAACGAACACTCGGATTCAACGAGATTTTAGGTCAGGCCCGACGACCTCGTTGAACTCGAGTTCCACTGTAGGCTACTTAGAACCGAAAGAGTAATTTTAATGTAGCCTAACAAAGGGAGGGAAGCTACCCAGGTTTAGAACGTCTCATGTCAATATGTTGTCTGTTGTTCCTTTTCAGCCGTTGTTCGTGTCATTGAACTTTACTATGTTAGGAAATTACAAGAACTGATGAAACTATGATTACCGAAATCCATGGAGGGAGCAAGGCCTGGATACCTTTCCGTTTCATCATACTGTTTACGTGACTCGATCCTACATGGTTGCAAATCCTGATTACGTCGAACTCGTTAGGACACCCTTCTCTTCAGAGTCCCCAGCAGGAAACAGCTTGATTGAAAAGTATGTTCACTACTGATCCTCTGCAGTGCCGAAGACTTCAGAACGCACAAATGCAGCTGGTGCGCAATTCACAAGCCCATGACGTCACTGGGTCAGCAGGTTCAGGATAACGTTCAATTTCAACCAGGCATTGCATCTTAATCGAATTGGAACCTACATGGGCTGGTGGCCCTGTTAACTTCTGACTGCTTGTTAATGTTTTGTGCCTCCACCGACACAATGTCAGATTATTTAGGAGGCCGGCTGCTTCGGCCCTGACAGTGAGGGCCAGCCGGGGCTGGGGTAGATACAGTATCCCAACAGAAAGTCAGACAATATAAGAATTGATAGAAAATAATTCCCCGTGCTGGAATGGAACTCGTATCTTTGCTGTGCAGTGACGATCCTTACCATTACACCATAGGCACCGGTCTGTTGCTAGTTAACCCTGTTTTAAGTCTCGAACATGTCTAGATCACTTGTCAACCTTTTGATACATGTATATCCAGCCTCTACTTATACCACTTTTTAAGGAGGCTAACAGCCCGTGAGACATGTATTTACTTGGCCTAATGTCTTGTCTTGTTGTGCGTTTGCGTGAGTGCACCTTTAAGTCTAACTTTTGTAACGTCTACTGCCATTGTTAACGACCAAGTCAAATTTCTCCCTGCGAGATGAATAAAGATTGTCATTGTCATACCGCCCCCCTACATGTATTCCAAGTCCAAACAATAGCCTACCTGTTACTGCTCTAAGAGTATCCTCATCACCCACCGAAATGACTAAATAGCCCAGGTTGGCAAGCACTGGTCTAGGTGGATTTGAACAAACCCCCGTCCTAGCACTTTTTTACTCAACAGTCCTTATATGTGTCACTTGTGCTGCATGTTGTCATTGCTACTCTGACGACAAAACCCAAATTAAGTTCTTGTGAACTACCTGTAGATCTATCTACATGTATTTCTTTGTTGTTATAGTCAATTGTCGTTCCCCGCAGTTCTCAAAAGTCATAATTTCTCCTCCTCATTCCCTTCTTTGACTTTGAGATCCTTGTTGTCAATGTTGTTGTTGTTTGTTATTGCTGTTGTTGTTGTTGTTATTGTTGTTGTTGTTGTTGTTGTGTGTGTGTGTGTGTGTGTGTGTGTGTGTGTGCGTGTGTGTGGAGGCGGGGGGCGGGGAGTGTCATAATTGGTTACCGTCACAACCGCCCTAGGTCTGCTTCTCGTTCTTTTTATTTTGTATGACGACACCCTCTTCTCTTCAGGATAATTTCTTTCACAAGAATGCAGTTTTTCTGCTGACATTTCTAGTCTTTTCCTTTCATTTCTTCATGGTGGGTAGTGGTCGAAGGACCGGAACAAAACGATCCAAACTATAGTACAGAAAAGATCTCCAGCCATCCATTTGTTTTTGCATACATGGCAGGAGCGCGCCAATAACCCACTGTAGGCAGTAGGTGGGCGCAGGCGCCACCATGTCATTTACCCCCCCCCCCCCCCAATCCAACCAAGACATCACATAAGAACACTATGTAATTTTTTTTTCGCTCCATGTAATTAATAATTGTGCTGATAAAGTTCCACTCGCACACCGCACAGTGCGTGTTTTTATGCAGGTCAGTGCCCTTTCCCATCACTATTATGACATTATGATCATAGTGACATTTGCGTGTATTTCTTGAATCCAAACTAGGTGATCTTTTGTTTATGTTTATAGCCCAACAGAGGGTGCGGTGGTGAAGCTCTCCGAAGCGGAAAGTCCGGGTTCGAGCGTCTGTTCGGACACGGGATTTTTCACGCCCCCTCCTGTCTACCCAGCAGTAATGAGTACCTGACTTCGAGTTGGGGAAGTAAAGGCGGCGTGGAAAGGGACTGGCCACCCTACCACAATATGCCGAAAGCCCAGGAAGTTGTCTCACTACCAAGGCAACCCCCAATGTCCGTATCGGATGCGGGAACAACTTTACTTTTTTATAGCCCAACAAGGGCCAGAAAGTGCAAATTGCAGTACATCATCATCCAGTGCCAGATCTGTGACAGACATCGACGATCACGGTTCTCCATTCATTCCTTTGCTCGGATGCTCTAAAAAACTATATTTTCCTGATCTTTCCCTGTTACCTATTAGTTAAGGTTCGTTATGTTGTTCTGGGCCTACCCCTGCCTCGCTTGCCTTCAATTTCGTCAGCGAGAGCTAGATGTTCAAGACCCTTATAATGTCTATTCAGTAGTCCCAAAAACTGCATATTTGTCGTTTCCTGATTGTTTTTAACATTGAGCGTCCCGCGAGGGCTTCATCAAGCTTCATCAAGCACTACCTCATTTGATTTCTTTTCCTTTCACGATACTCTTAGCAGATTCCTAAGAAATCACATTTCTGTTGCTTCTATTTTATTTTCACTGTCTTTAGTGATTGTCCAGCATTCACGGCCATATAGAAGGGTTGACCAAACATAGCATTTCAAAGCTTTAATTTTGGTAGTCTTTGCATGTTTCTATTTTTCAGGATTGGGCTCATTTTAAATTTTAAGTGAAACTAGATCTAGTCTTAGTTCTTAGCCATTGCAATTCTCAGTTTTATTTCTGTGGAACATTTGGCATCAGATGTTATCATATATCCTTATATTGAAAGTGTTGGACTTGTTTAACTTGTTTGATCTTTTCACCTTTGCTAATGAGATTACAACTAGGATTTGCTGCTTTTTGGATATTACCATGCATTCAGTCTTCTTTACATTCAACAATAATCCTTTAGGTTCACTTTCTGTTACAACAGCATCTAGAAGCAATTGAAGGTCCTTTTCTGAACCTGCTATTAAAACTGTGTCATCTGCATACATGATGTTATTGATATTTTCTCCATTTACTTTGAGACCTGGACATTCTTCTGTGTTTCTAAGGATTGTTTCACTGTACATGTTAAAGAGGTCTGGTGACATAAAACATCCTTGCCTCACTCCTCATCTAATCTGCTTATAAAGTAATATTCATTTATTCGTACAGCAGCGTTTTGGTCCCTGTACTAATTCCTGATAATTCTTAGATCTTTTCCATCTATGTCTAGCTTTTCCAGTATTTTAAATAGCTCATCATATATCTAACTTTATCGAACGCCTTTGAATAATCTATGAAGCATAAAAACAGATCATTCCGTGCTTCAATACATATATTTCCAACGTTGTTAAAAGGAAATTGCAGTACAAAGAAAAAAAGAAAGAAAAGTTAGATTATAATCATCACCAATGTGTCTTTTCGAGTGCTGTTGTCTTCACATTCCCTACTGCATGTATATATATGGGTGCATCTTTTTTCTTTCTTCACAAGCCTAGACTGGTGGCTTCGCAGTTCATATAAATATGTACAACTGTTGAGGCCATGTCCTTTATAAGGCTTCTTAGACCTAGATGGAGTGGACCCCCCCCCCCATCCCCCCCCCAATCCCCTTCCTTTAAAAAAATTATCATTTTCATGGGGAGATATTTTTAGTTTTCTCCCTGCTTCTATTCTAAATGGTAATTGCGTCCTGTTTCACGGTGCATGAGCAGTGATAATATTTTAAGAATATTCCAGATCTTTTCATAGCCCTTGTATTAGTTCTTGTCTCGCTGTGCCATAAAAAAGTTGTTTCCAAAGCATCCCATAACAATGATAACAATACGACGTGCTTTTTTCTCTCTCCAAGTTATTTATTTATATTGTGTTGATAAGGTTTCCTTGCACTCCGCAGGGTGCTCGGGACCATGTAGTGTGTGCTTGGAACGGTACACCCATTTAGTTTTTGCCTAAGGATTTCTTTTCCACTAGATCTTCTTTGAATTTTTTTCCTCAACAAGGGCCAAGTTGAGGTCTCCATTCCGAACTTACTTGACCTACTACACACATACATCCGTAGCCTCCGCTCTCTGTGAGGCCATGACGTCAATCGCGAAAGGCGACTACTTTAACTTATTTGAAAAGGGAAACCACAAGCCGATTTTAACTTAGATTTAGATCTAGTTCAAGAATGGAGACCACAACTACACCTTTAGCATTTTCTCATAGTTGTGAAGGTTTTGCTGATTCCGATGTCTAATTCTTGACCAAGACTTCCGTCACACGGGAATCGGACTCACTTCTTTTGAATGCCACAGCAAACAGACTACCTGTGATACCACAGGACTATAGTCTAATCTTTTCTGAATGCAATAAATGTGTAACTGCTGTTATTATGCCCCTTCATAAAGGTGGACCTTGAAAATTGTAACTGAGGAATTTAAGCGCCCCCATCAACACAATTTAGATAATTTAGGAGGCAGGCTGCTTCAACCCTGCCTGCCAGGGCCAGCCTGCACCGAGAGGGATACAACATACCAGCAGCTAATAAATGGAGAGAAACTTAATCAAAATTCCTCTCCCATGGGATTTGAACTTGCGTCTCCTAGTCTGCTGCAATGAAGTGACTTACCGCTACACCACAGACACCAATAAGATGGATATATTTCCTTGATTTCACTTCATTTAGTTTAAAAGTAAAATATAAGAGTAGGCCTATAATAAAAATTTTAAGTGGGTGATCAAAACCCCCAAAATGTACAACTTTTTTTGCTAATATTTTCCTCCACACTGAAATTTTGCGTTTGAAATTTGTACACAACATTTGGAAGTCAAAAGGAATTAGTCTGGACTGATATTCATTTTCGACAAATCCACCGAATAGTTTTGCTCTACATAGCGCGTAAGTTTATAAACAACTCATTTTCAGCTATGTCCTCATTTTTTATAGCATGGCGCACTAGGCTACTTTGCATTAGGCCTAGATGTTCCACTTAAAATCCCAATGATTGCGCCATATTGCATACTGCAACAGCTCTAACAACAGGCCAACAGCTAGAAGTCTGCAGATAGTTTTTCTCAAGTTTTCTTTACCTGCTGAGATCATGGTTAGGATCAGTAAGGAACAGAGAGCTCTTTGTATTGAACATTCCCTCACCACCAACTCATTTCGAAAGTTTCGCACAAGGTACGGAAATACATGCAATGTTCAAATGCCCTTAATGACTTCTTTGATGTCAACGGTGGAAATGGTCCATCAGTTGGGACCTGTAGAGAATAAGAACTAAAAATTCTTAGACAAAACGACCACTTCAGGTCAAACACACACCGTTTGCACCCCTTTAAACGTCACCGGGGTGCAGAATTCAGTAGATGAGCCCCATATCAGACGTCTGTCCTTAGGCGATGCCTGCAGCTTTAATGACTTTCCTACATCTCAACGGTCCGCATTCTCAAGGCATATATTATCTTCATCTATACCTGTACCATTTTCCCGTTCGCGAAGCTATCAGAGGATAGCAATGTGTTCATGATTCCTTGATCGTTAGAAAAGCATGGCCATAGATGACATTTGGTTCCTTGGCAAAGCCCTTATTCACATTTCAGGTTATATCAACTCCACAAATGCTGTCTACTTGGGAAACCTTAC